ATCATCAGGGAGAACTTGAGCGCTGTCAATAAGTTGAAGCCCTGGAACGTTAATCGGGATGTTGGAATGGCGCAGACCCACTTGTAATGCTTGCTCAGGCTATCTCTTGTCAGGAATGGCTTTCTGCAAACGCAGATGAAATCCATACTTCTATCCTCGTGCCTTTCAAATCGGACGAACACATTTAAAAGGACGTTTCTCACTTGAACTGGCACCGTTGAGTGCAACCGAATCAAGTGGTTTTTTTCTGACTTGGTCAATGGCACAGGTCCGTCCCCGTCCCTGACCGGGAGACCCTGATCAATGCGACGCTCCTGTGGCTGGATCGCCGCTTTCCTGTCCAGCAGTCCCTGGACGCAGTTGTAGAATGTACATTCGTTTCTCTGTGCCTTGATCACTGTAGTTAGCGTAGCGTGTAGTGGAACGCTGGCGAGGAAGGTAATTTGCAACAGTGATGTTGATTATAGAGTGTTAGGGTGTGCACAGAGAAAAAAATTGCGAGAAAGAGTGCATTTCACCATGCCCTCCACCTTCGTAGAATATATAACTCCATATCTCCATGACCAGATAATCTCGAGCAACGGCCAGGTTGTGTCATTCTCTCTCTTCGTCCAATTGCTTTACGCCCATCTGCAGCTCGTCCTTTTGCTCGTTCTCATGCCTATGTCACACTCCTGCACGCCTATCTAGAGCTCGTCCTTTTTGAGCTCGTCCTCTTTTCTTTTTCGAAATGTGCAAGGCTGTTTGCATGCAATGCTAGACTTTAAGTCAAGATGATTAGGGTTTGTCTTATGTAGAAAGAAAAGAAGAGAGAGGTCGCTAAATCACGATGGGTAATCAATGGCCATAAGCATCAGCAGCATCAGCAACACCACATATTCACCAGAGTCTGTTATGCAAGGCTATAGTCTATGGTCTATCCAGACTGGGTATCCGGAGAATGTCCTGAGATACGTCTTACTCATAGACTAGATGCTCATAAACAATTGCACTCAGTAAACTCTTGATGCTCACCTTGCGCATTATCCAAAGCGCCTTTGCAATTGAGAAGCATTTAGAGGTATCGCCACGCGTTTGCTTTTTCAACCTTCTTCCATGATGTTCTGAGAAGTTCACCTGGACTTAACTCACATATTTAAGGCTCCAAAACTAGGAACTAGGGAGATTCATTCAATTGGGCTGTAACCGTTGGATTATGTTTCGATGCACAGGACAAGAGCGACGCGTATGGCGCTGCACGAAAGATCGTTTGTAACAACCGGCTTCTGAATAATACCTCTGATTGACTAGAAGCCTCACTGCCTACCATGGCAAGAAGCAACGGGGTAATGCGGCGTAGGGGATCTAATAACGAGTTCTGTAACTTCTATCATTAGTTCTATTTACAATAGGAGACACCACGCGAATATGACTTCGGCAAGGGCGTGCTTCGGTTACTTACTGGTTCGCGGTGCAGGGTCCTCCTTTAGATTGGAATGTATGAACACAAAGGTAAACGAAAATGGAAGGAAATAAATATAGGATCTGTTTAGCTAAATGGTACGAGCTAGGACTATATTCCTTTGGGAATGACTGGGGTAGTTGCAAGGAGTTCGCATATGTGATATCCGATGAGGTGAGGAGTCATGACAATGAAGTCCACCTCTCTAGAGTCGTTGTATGCCAACACTCGCTGATCAGGCCTCGATTGTACCTTTATAATGCCGTTTGACGAGGGTGGGCCGATGACGGATGCTCAATGAGACGATCGGTGATTGAGGAAGCGCTGCAGGGCAAGTACAATGCCTAAATAAGAGCGGTTGACGGTGCAAAGATGGCGAATGATCAGGATTGGTATTCCCTGTTGACTGTATCTTGTTGCGTGGGTTACTGACGGTGGTAGTCAGTACCTGTCGTTGCTGTGGTGTTATCCGGACAATCTGGACGAATGCAACGTGTGATACAAATGATTTTAGGAAAGAAGACTCTGGTCCAGGAACCAGACCGTTTATTCTTTTATTCTGGGGCAGTGCTCTTTCCCGTGATCCAATATCAACTTTGCGAGGCCAACCGAATGATTGTCATTTACTACACCACAGAATCCATTTGCATAGGTCGACCGAACTGGGAAAGCCCTCCGCGAGTCTTCTCTGGCATCACTACTCTCAAGACTGGACTCAGCCGGAATCATTGTGGTTTATTCCATCCACAACAAGATCCGTCGCAGTCAACAGGAGTTTGTTGTGGTTATGGTTGGCCATTCATATTTTTGCACCCGCCTCTTGCTGCAAAACACGGAGATTGTGTGCAGGCACTTCTTTTGCGTGATGCAAGGGGACAGCAGGTGCAAGTATTTGATCAGCCTCGTTCTTAGGCGCTGGTTCAAGGAGCAGTGGCAGGATCTTGAAGGTTTCGAGACGAAAATTGGTTCAAAGCTTCTAGTCGCCTACCCGCATTACATCGCCTCCACCAGGACCGAGGATCACCCCGCCAGCGCTTGTACGAGGATTGTGCACACCTTGTTCTCTACAGGATCCTCGACACCACAGCCAAGAAAGGAAGAGCGACTGAGGATAAAGTGGCACACAGATGTTACAGGGATCGTGAGAGAGCTGGCCATCATGGGGACAGCCGGTCCAGCAATGCGATGCAAACGCTCAACAACCTCTCAATCTCGCTGAAACGGAGACGAGACTCATAGAGCTACAGGACGCGTCTGACAACGAAGCAGGTCTTAGTGTCACTAAAGACCCACTTGTGGTGAAGCCGAAGGGGCGTCCAGGAGCCAAACGTATCAAGAGCACCAGTGAGATGTCGCGACCATCCAAGCTCGAATTATTCTTACCGGGGTGTAAGAATAACCCGCTTACACCCCTGTGAGATGACAAAACGGGGGATAATCTTACGGGGGGTGAGAATAAAATCTTACGGGGGGGTGAGATTATATTCTTCCTTTGTCCTTGCCAAACGCGTCAATATATTGGAGGACACATCCCTTGAAAGCATTACTGGTGCTTTCAAAGAGTGCCGTAAACTGCGATTCAACCGAGTCAGCATCGCGCACAAGGCAAGCAAGGAGACGTCAAAGATACTATCGTGCCAGGCAAATAGTTTGGAAATAGGAAGCGTAAATGACCTTTTTTTTTAGGATGGATGTTAGACATGATCCGAGTGAATTATTCGCTATATCAGCCTCAACTGAATCCCACGTTTCATTCATAGGTAGCAGCTCCTAAAGGATCTTGATTACCGTCCACAAACTGCATGGTTGCCTCTGGTTGAGAACTGAAGAACGGTGTCTGAATTTCCGCAGGAGGGAAGGAGGACGCCGATTGGAGATCAAACAGGTACGACCTGGGAAATCAGTTTGTCTTTGTGTGCAAGTAACGGAGATTGATGCTGTGCTTGTGCTACAGTTCAATGAGTAAGGTTCGACATATCTAATCTAGACATACTTATGCTGTGCGACTTCAAGGCGAAAGACTGGTCGGGGTCACCCTTGCCCAATGGATGCGGATACAGGCAAGCGCCTTTCCCGAGCGAAAGCGATGGGATTCACCTTTCTCATTCGCCCCTCGCTTCCATGCCCATCGTATCTTCGCTCATTCCTTTCCTCTTTTAATCCACTCACAGAACGCACTCAATTTTTTTTTTTTGAATTTTTCAGCGGGATGAACAAAAGCCAGCAGAACTCAAGAGAAGGAGCCCCCACAGTCCTGATCATTGGCGCAGGGCTCGGTGGTCTGATGCTGGCAACTCTGCTTGAACGCTGTAACATACCATACCATGTCTTTGAGCGAGCCAACGCGTTTCGCTCTCTCGGTAGGTGCTATTCACACTTTCAAATTCACTTTATGCTATACATGTACCACACTTTCCTTTTTTTAACATATCCTGGGATACCATGATCATCGTACAGGCTCGGCAATGACAATGGGTGCGACCATTTTACCGGTATTCGAACAGCTTGGGCTGTACGAGGATATCAAAAATATGTCCATCCCTTGCAACAGCGCGGATATGTACAACGCAGATGGGAAGTTTCTAGGATCTCTCGACGCGAATGATACCGTGCCCATGTAAGTGTTGGAATCGGCGATAGCTTCATTCCACGAGTTGATAGGCAATAGAACTCATGTTTGACTAAATACACACTTTCTATCTCGTTTTTAGTGTCGGATACAGCCAGGTGATCTTTGCACGGCCGAGACTATATGAACTGTTGCTGAAGCAGGTCCCTTCCGAAAAGATCACTCTCCGGAAGAAGGTCCTCAGAACAGAGGAAAAGGAGGGCAAGATGCACATCTACTGCTCAGACAACACGTCGTATGAGGGCGACATCCTAGTCGGATGCGACGGTGCCTACAGTAATGTGCGCCAAAACATGTTCCAACAGATGAAGGCCAAGGATCTCCTACCTGCCGTGGATGGGGAGGATATGGCGATTGGGTTCGTGAGCATGGTCGGCGTGGCAGACTCGCAGGACTTGAAAAAGTATCCACAACTCAAGGACCCATTTTGTCACTTTTCGTGCGCCCTTGGCAAGGACAACCGCAGTGTAGGGTTATTCCAGATACAGTCTATGTACAGTTGACCATCCGAGGATGCACACAACTTACTTATACATCCTGACTTTGATTACATTATTGTCCATACATTAGTGGGGTGTTTGCAACGTCGCAGACAACCAGGTCTGCTGGGGTCTCAACATCCAGCTCTCGGAACAGGAAGCCAAGGTTCAACGCTTTCGCAATTCAGAGTGGGGACCAGAATCGATCGAGACGATGATCAAGGAGTTTCAGGATGTGCCGTCGCCTTGGGGAGGTACCATGGGCGAGTTCATACACGCGACACCTAAGGATTTGATTTCAAAAGTCTTTTTGGAGGAGAAGCTCTTCCAGACCTGGTATCATTCGCGTACCGTACTTCTTGGAGATGGTAGGTGAGGGTACACAGGGCCAACTTTAGTATAATGGTCGCTAATAGACACTAACGCAGAATCTTGTTGCTTTTCTTTGCACTGATGCAGCCTGCCACAAGGTAATGACCTTCACTCTTATTGCACGCAGATACTTTTGATAATACCATTGAGCTAAAACACCTCATCTCTATGTAAATCTTGATACTTTTAGATGTTGCCAGGTGCTGGACAAGGTCAGTTTCTACCTCGATGTTCTTATCTGGCGACCATCCATTTATCGAATGACAGAGATCTGATTTATTCATACGACAATTGTAACTTGTATCTTTTATCCGAACAGGTGCTGTGAGCGCAATGCAGGATGCTGTGGTGCTCGCCAACTGCATCTACAACATGAACGATAAGACCCCGGAAAGTCTTACGGCCGCTTTCAAGGATTATCGTGAGCAGCGTTTCGACCGAGTCAGCAACCAGTACAAGGCAAGCAAGGAGATGTCCAAGATTCTGTCTGGTCAGGTAAAAAAATCTCTTCCTGACAAAAAAAAAAAACATGGTGTGCATTGACTGAGAGAGATGTCTGAAAAAAAGACAGGTGATTGACAAGGGAGGGGGTGTTTTTCCTTTTTTCCGGTTGGTGTTGGATTTAGACATGGTCAGAGCGATTCTTCCGCTATATCATCCTCAATTGGATTCCCAGCTTCCTTCAGAACCAGCAATCGCTCCTGGGACTTGACTACCGTCCACAAATTGCATGGCTGCCCCTGGCTGAGAACCGAGGAACAGTGTCCGTACTTCCCCAGCAAGGAAAGAGGGAACCGTTGGCAGAACAGGCATCTGCATTGTGAATGCGGCCAAGGGATAGATTGACTCCAGGACTCTCTGGTCATTAACGCAGAATAGAGAACACTTCGTAGCATAGACTATTAGAGACAGAATTCCCGGAATGTAAAAATGCTCATAGACCATATTTATTTCGTAATGAAGAATACCGTGTGTGCGATCTATCTGTTCGAGCAAAATATCCTGACTCTGGAGCATCGTCGTAGCTTAGCTGGGACGATCAGATGGTGGGGGAAAAAAGCTGGCATACACGCATCGAGCACATCGATGCTCGTTCTTTGATGATGAAAAAAAAAAAAAAAAACAAACAAAGACTCAGCGGTGTCAATGGCAACAACGAGACTTGCTGAGAGCAGAACAAACAGAAAATAACGCTGTGCGGAGGTTCGATCAAAACTGCTGTGCTGCAGGCGAATTGTGGTCAGGGGTTGAGGTGAGGGGGAAGGCCCATGTTTTTTCTACGCTCCATCTGAGCGACTTCAATGGGGATCATTCTTCTCATTCAGCTCTCGCATTTCCGCATTCTGCATCTCCTTACATCCCACTCCCCACCATGACCCAACCCCAGGCAGTATAGTCATGGCCGAACAACAACATCCTGAGGAAAGACCTGCGGTCAGGCAAGAGAGAACTAGCCGGGTATATGAAATTGGCAAGAGTGGTATGGCCAGCGCTAGACAGCTTGGTGACCCATCGTCCTCTCTATCTGGAACTGTAGACATGGAGAGAGCGGCTCTTCCGGTACATGATCTTGAACTGGGTTCCCAGGCCGGGCCACTGTGAACAGCAGGCTGAAGAGGACATAGTATCGTCTGCAGATCGCCTGGCTTCCTCTGGCAGAGGAGCGTGGAGCTATACCAGTGTTGCCGCAGGAAGAGAGAAAGGGGGGAGAGGTTCTTGAAGACCGAGTGGTTGGTTCCCTCTGAACGACTGTTCGTTGCTCCAGAACCGCGAGTTGGTTGCCGGCATATCCACGAGGGAAGGCTAAGACTGCAAGGGATTCCTCTGTTTCTGTAATAATAAATATATATTTTTTTCTAGAAACGCGCCTCCCCGACCTGAAATGGCAGACAACTCTCGTCTTTTATGACCATTTCCAATGCTCGATACCCCGCTCCAGATACCAGAACTGCGTGCTCAGATTGCACGATTGGTTATCGTAAAGGATATCGTTAAATGCCTACAGGTTTACGGAACCGGACGGCTGCCTTCGCATATCCCGTATGGCACTCCATCGACTCCCATCTTCACACAGGGCTGCACGAGGCTCGGTCATGGAGTTGCCGCAAAGCATTGGCATCATATCAGTGCCATCAATAGCCTGAAGACACAGCTGCGCCTGATCGTTCTCTGGTCAAACGAGAGAACTCTTGTTATCAGACTCATCATGGAGAAAGCTTTTTATTCCAATGGTAGAGACTGGCCTTACCCATCTCCTATTTCCTTTCAACATTTTCGTTTTACAGCCTTTCATCTTATTCTCCTTCTCGCCCACTCATCTGCCTGACTCCTAGCCTTTCCCTATGGCCAACGTAACCAGGCACCCACTTCATATACCGGAGCTGCGTGTGCGGATCGCTCGATTTGTTCCTGTCAACGACGCAGTCGCCTGCGTGCAAGTGTGCAAGGACTGGGCAGCCGATTTTACCTATCTCATATAGCACACCATTGATTTAGACACCCATTTCAGGGTGCTGCACCATCTTGGTCAAGGTGTTATCGAAAAGTACGGACACCATATTCGCGTCGTTGTGAACTTGAAGGACCAAATGGACGCCGATATCATGTCCTGGTCTCAGGCATCCAAGTTGGTGCACCTCGACATGTGCATATTAGCGTCGCTCGACTTGCATGCGCGCTTTTACGACATTGTTCGACGAAACAGCACCAACCTCGTTTCCTTGCACTTTGCTTGCATGCAAGAGCCAAAGCCGTTTTTGCGGGTCGATGCACTCTCTACTGGTACCACAGCGATTTCAAAGCTGTCTTTTCTCAGGATCGAACGGTTTCAAATGACTCGCGGTGAATTCACGGTGTTGTTAAAGATGTGCCCTCTCTTGGACACATTGGATATGCGAGAGGTACCCATTAAAGGCGACATCGTTACGGAAGCGTTTCGGCATCCGAGGCTACACAGCCTTGTCGCTACGATCGCACAAATATTCGAAATGGATCCCACCATACCCAACACACCGCCACTCGTTGTTCATTTCCCGCGCCTCAGGACATGGAAAATATTGGACCGAATCCCAGCGGTCGTCGTCCCAATGGATGTCATCAGGGATAACATTGGTTGGCATTGCCCTTTACTGAGGGCTATCCATACTGAAACAGACGAGAAAGTAACAACAAATCTGCTTACTCGAGCCTTTTACGGACTGGCCGAAATCCGAATCGACTTTTATTCCTTCTCACTAGATGAGATTATGGCTGTGCGAAGTCATCGAAGTACACTGGAGTCTGTTGGCACCATTCTTCCGCATAATTTCTCTTACGATGTAGCTAATGTCGGGCGGACGTACGATCGTCTCCAGGGATACAACTGCTATATTCAAGAGTTACTGCGGTGCTGCACTCGACTACGAACCATCAGCTTCCCTTTAGAGGGGATGGATATCAACGAGATCGAGAAGGCCCAATGGCCGTGCAAGGACTTGGAGATACTCCAGATTAGGATCCGTGGCCTGGATACCAAAGAAACCATCGATCGCACGACCGATTTCTGGATGGACAAAAGAGCTGAGAGCAGGAGGCCATCATCAAGAAAGAAAGAGGCCACACTGAAGCATGGCTCCATTGAAGAACGAGTAGCCCGACACCTTTTGCAGTTCGATAGCCTGAAGGAGGTCTGGCTTGGGCACAAGATCAGGAGATTGTAGATGAACCGCACCCTCTTTTTTTTTTTTTTTGCAGTCCAATAAATGATAACCATTTTCGTACCGTTCGTGGGAGTAAACTATATGCTTGGAGACCGTCATGCATTCTCGTAATTAAAGTGCACCATGCAGGGTCATGGTGTCCTTATTCTTGTTCACCTCTAAAACCTCAATAAACGACATGGTTTGGAACTCGCCATCGATATCCACCCCTGTTTCTATGGAGACCATTGTCGAAGAGGTCGATCGATACTACCCTTGACTGGAGGCTATCCTTGCCGATAAAAGCTCGTCCACACAACGCAGCTATAGGTAGATAGAAAGACCATGGACAGAATATCATCCGGACTCACTGAGGCACTTATCCAGGGCGATGCCTTGTTCGAGGCACGAGCTGCCCGACATCTTACATCTCTTGAATTTCAAAACGCTGTAAAGAAGTCTGGTTTGGATATAAAAAGTCGAAAGAGGTTGAGGTTTGGTTTTTTTTTTTTTTTTTTTTTGTACTCACGGCTCCTTGCTCGTTCATTCGTCTCTCCCTACAGGAGGACTCGAATGAAGCGCGCGAGGGACGCGATTCCGGGAATTCAATTTAAAAACAGGTTGCCATAGCTGAACACGAAATAGTTGACTAGAGCCTGTTTCTGGATATCGATCGGGTGAAAGAGATTCCAGGTAAGCTAGCAAGGTGGGGGGGGGGGGGGGGGGAGGTCGAAAAGCTTGTTGACTGATTAACTAAACCAAAAAAAAAAAGTGCTCTCGAGAAGTGCATGCATGCATGCGTACATTTCCTTTTCATTTTCGAAATGTGTACAGGATACAGTCTATCGGAGACTACCCTTGTGCGATGGTACAATTGCATGGGTACATCCATGCGGCTGCAAACAAGCGGTCTGCTTTGGCTGCTTGGCCACGCAGAGAGCGGCCCTGGAAGAGCGGAAGCAGCTTCGATGAGCAGCAGCAGCAGCAGCAACAGCAGCAGGAGTGGGTGGCGGACCAGGAGCAGAGCCCGGGCCTTCCGAAAACATCGTATGCAGCCCCAGTATGTAGTTTGGGTATGTTTTATGAAGAACAAATCGATGGTCGCACAGCATTACAGGCCCTTCCTCTGTGTCTCTGTGTCCAAAACGTGTGTCCCGGCTGGACCAAACGGGAGGGGGGAGGGCGAGGGCAGCTGGAGAGGCATTCCTTCTAGCTCTCACACTCTCACACCCACACTCTCTCTCATTCTCCTCCTCCTCCCCCATCCTCATCCTCATCCTCATCCTCCTCTTCCTCCTCATCTTCCTCCTCATCCCATCCTCCATCTCCCCATCTGCCTCTCTGCCTCTCTGCCTCTCGCTTTCATATTTATCCCCTCTCCAGTTTCAAACGACTCCCCTGCAGAAAAAACTCCCCGAGATGTCTTCTTCCACACTGCCCCTCGAAAACCCCAAGCCCGTGGTCATGATCGCCGGAGGCGGTCTTGGTGGTCTGATGCTTGGCATCCTGCTCGAGCGCAGCAATGTCCCTTACCACATCTTTGAGCGCGCAAGCGAGATCAAGTCGCTTGGTAAGAATCCCCTTCATAATCAGTATGGGTTTGCTTCGTACCAATTTACCAACATTTACCAGCGAAACCTTGATTTTTTTAGGTGCCGCCATGTCTCTCTCCGTCAACATCTTGCCTGTCTTTGAGCAACTTGGCCTGTTCGACGAGCTGCTCACGTTCTCGCGTTGGTTCAACAACGCCACCATCTACGAAAGCAACCTGGATATCATCGGTCATGTTCGTTGGAAGGAGCAGAAGGCAGTGTAAGGATAGCTCACAGCTGGAAACAGGCATCTATATCCGAATGAGACTACAGGAGTGAAAAGAGCCCTAACAACACCACTTTTGTTTTTCAAATTCCAGCTGCGGTTACGACAAGATCGTCTTTGCGCGCCCACGCCTGCACGACCTTCTGTTGCGCCAGATTCCCGCCAACAAGATCACATTCGGTAAACGCATTCTCAGGACTGAGGAGAAGGACGACAAGGTTCTCATCCACTGCTCCGATAACTCGACCTACGCAGGCGACATCCTCGTCGGTGCCGACGGCGCCTACAGCTCTGTCCGTCAGTCGCTATATAAGCAGTTGCTCAATAAGGGCCTTCTGCCCAAATCCGACCAGGAGAACTTGGAGCTCGGATACAACTGCATGGTCGGTGTCACAGATCCCTTAGACCCCGAGCGGTTCACGCAACTCAAGGACGAGTTCACGCATTTCACTGCCATCTTGGGAAAGGACCGAATCAGCGTAAGAATATCTTTACTAGTGCTTATCGTGCAGCCTGCTATAGTGATCAAAGATCTAATGACGTTTCAACTGACGCGACCTTATCTGTTAATATGCTAGTGGGGAGTTTCCAGTGTCACTGATAACCAGATCTGCTGGATCCTGTTGATTCAGTTCAAGAACGCAGATGAAGCGGCTGAGCAACGATTCAGGAACTCTGAGTGGGGTCCCGAGTCCACCGATGCGATGGTCAAGGAGTTCCGCGAATGCTTGAATCCTTATGGCGGAACCATGGGTGAGATGATCGATGCCACGCCCAAGGAGCGTCGGTCGAAGGTCTTTTTGGAGGAGAAGCTGTTCGAGACCTGGTTCCACGGACGCACCGTCCTGATTGGTGATGGTAAGAACCGTTCAGGAGCAGGATGCGAAGAAAGTGTTATTTTTTGTCAATGCTAACCACTTGCATTTCTAAACCATCCTTTTCAAATACCTCCTGTTCGCCGCAGCCGCTCACAAGGTAAGCCCAGCTTGATCCACAAATGCCATTTGTCGCGGACACACTCTAATTTGAAACCAATTCTCATATCTCCCATTTCTCTCTTTTTCCCCATTAGATGATCCCCGCTGCTGGACAAGGTACTGCTCACACTCATCACCACTTATACTTTAATCCGCACACTCGCAACGACACTCAACATTCAAACCTAACTTCTCACTTCGTTTTCTTCTCATAGGCGCCATCAACGCTATGCAGGACGCCGTGATCCTTGCCAACACCTTGTATGACATGCCTGACACCAGCACGGAGAGTATTACCGCAGCGTTCCAGGACTATTACGACCAGCGCTTCGAGCACGCAAAGATGCAGGTCGAGATCAGTAAAGCTATGGGCAAAATCCTTGCTGGCCAGGTAACCAGACGGCTGTGTATTCTCTGCCGCTTTCAGGACCACATTTTGTTTCCGCACATGCTGACACCTCTCTCATACCTCATTATGGTTCACAAATAGTCTTTGACTGAGAGGTTCCTCCGCAAGGTCCTCCTGAACTACGTACCCGACTGGCTAAATAACAAGAATAACATCAAGACCGCCTGTTATCGCCCTCAGATTACTTGGCTACCATTCTCGCCCAACCGCGGCACAGGTCACATTTTGCCTCAGAAGCCCTCTAAGCGGTACCAAGAACAGCAGGCCCGTGGTTATGTCAGTCCAGCCAACGCTACTACGACAGCTACGCATCCAGCAATGACGGGAGTTGAGATGGCCGCTGAAAACGTTGCAGAGAACATGGATGTGGCGAATACAGTTGCCCCTGCGACTGGAGCGGTCGTCTAGATGCAAATGGCAGGATGGCATTTCACCGCCCAGAATATCCTCGCATTACGATGATTGTAAACAATTCATGTTAAAAGATCTATCGGATGGACAAGACAGGCGAACAAACCAGTTCGAAATGGAAAGACCGACATCTATTACATATTACATATTACATATGCAGACATTTCCTTTATATATTATAATAAACATGCCGAGCACTAGCGATGCCAACTTAAACATGCGGTCTGTTTGATCGCGACCTACGGTCAACGGATCTCTTGTTTGCGGATGAAATTACTATCAATGTGATAGGCATATGACAAACAATAACAGCTATCCTTCTTTGGATACGAAGGAGAATCGGAGCCAAGTACGCCCACGCACTCATAGCAAAAAATATGTCGGCCTTGATTTCGGCGACCCGTTTTCGAACTGATACATTTCGCAATTTTTTTTTTTTTTTTTTTTTTTTTTTTGGGGGGGAGGGGGGGTTCTAGCGATATATCACAGTATTTGAATTTGGTTTCGATACAGAAAAAGAAGAAAGTACCGGCGTAGCTACTATATCACCTCGGAATTGGCGCCCAAACCCAGATCTCCGGACAAGTTTTTCGAACTCCAGTCCTTTCTTCCTTCCACGACTGGATGTTTTTTTCTTTTCTCTTTTGATATCAAGGCTACAGGGTCTTGATGATGAGATTCTGTAGGATCGTCCAAGCTCATTTCGTCTTCTTCACACCACCACCGATATCCAACTCCTGCATAGAATGAGTATACCGCTCCAGACGAGGACAGAAACTGACCTCGGCACCACAATCAGAACCCTGTGGCTGATTATCCATCGCTGGTGCATCCAGAGAGTAAAACTATCGAAGTGAAAAAAAAGAAGCTATGGCTTCTTTCGATCTATCCACTGTGCAAAAAGTATCGTCCCAAACCACATCAAGAGAAAGATCCTCATAGGCCCATGTAGACTACTATGGGACCCTTAAAAGCGTGCGCAAGCAGGGGGTTTTTTTTTTTTTTTTTTTTTTTCATGGAGTGGCCTAGTCGCCCTTGAAAGCGAGGTCTTTCGATTACAGGGGGGATAATAGTAATGTTTTCATCTGTTCACAGAACTAAGAGGACGATGATTTCGTGCTGCCTCACCTTTCTCTGTGTTAGTGAAGTCCTGGAAGTCCGGACCAAAGGCCATCGCTCCCATGTTTCCGTCCTCCTCCTGGTACACCACATTGTTCTACGCTAGAGCCTTCGTGTTTGGATCGTCGGCGCTGCACTCTCCGAAGTAGGCATCGGCTGACATTCACTCAGTCTTTTGCCTGTTCATTCATCAAGAAGGGAGTGCGCGGATGCTATAAATGAATGAAAAATTGCGCTTGACAATGCACAGGGCGCACGTTGATGCGTCAAATTGGCAAAGGCGCGTCAACCTTGATGAGAAAAACTGAGGGCACTGTGATACTACACATATATTGGATAAGTGCGAGTATAGCAGCTGATGGCTGAAGCAAGCCATGGCATGCGAGTCTAGGGTGAAGAGAGAAGTAGAAGACTTTTTCAGAGCGATATCTGTGTTCTAGGGAAAGCTGTGATGAAAAGAGCGGAGGAGCATTCCCATGCTAGGCCATGCTAGACTGCAGGACCATGAGATGCTGCTCGTAGCAGCTGCTTTCGCGATATGAAAATAAAAGAAAAAAAAGAGAAAGGAAACGAAAACAAAGATGAAAACAAAGACGAAAACAAAGACGAGAACAAAGACGAAGACGAAGACAACGACGAAGACAAAAACAAAGACAAAGACGAAAGAAACAACATGGCGAGGCGTCCAAAGCAACAAGCTCCACATCACTTTCGTTAGCACTGCTGGTATCTGTACACTTGTTATGTGTGATATTATGTGTGATATGATTGTTTATTGCATTCAAGGTCGTCCTTACTCGACTGTATTGTTCATTCGCCCTACTCTGCTCGATCACCCTGCTCGATCGCCCTGAGCGCGTCCCGCTGCCGTTCCAGTGCCGTTCCAGTGCCGTTCCAGTGCCATCCCAGTGCCATCCCAACTCCATTTTGGTGTCGTCATACTTTCATCCGACGCGGTTCGGTGCGCATCGTGCTCGCGGTGTTGTGTTTGCAACCATAAAGAGAGAGAACATGCAAAAGAGGAAAGAATTTGTTAGCTCTGCAGACGCAACTTGTCAACATCACACAGCTTGTGAAGACATGCCAACTTCCACAACCCATCCCTCTTGTTTTGCCTTGGGGAACTGAGAACCAGCAGAACAGAGAGAAACAAGAAAAACAAACTACATAGAAAAGGACAGCGAGCTACCCATCCGGTTTCAAACATCCGTATCTCCATCTTGGCGCTCAAGGAGCACACAAGAACATGATGTGGAAACGGAAAGAAGAACAACAGTGTAGGAAATTGTGCAAATATAGGATGCTGCTCGCTGTGAAATATCCCAAACGGTATTGCGTTTGCCATCTACCCAGTGTGCTGCGCCGTATGGGCTCAAAAGAGGACCCCAGCACACTATGCTCATGAGCAGAAGGAGTGGTGCGCTTGCATGCTGTACATGAAGCAACAAGGGGTAGTGCATTACCAGAGTGGGCGTGTGTCGTTGTGTCACTAAATGGAGCACTCGGGGGGTCATTGTTGGATCGTGGCTCTAAGGCCCTACCCTCACCCCGCACACATTAAATGATGTGCGACATGCCTAATGCTTCATCCTCCACAGCGTGAGGAATCCACATGTAGTTCAGTGGTAGGACCCGTCGCACTGCGCCTGGCTGCCGTTGTGCTGCAGCAAATCTTCTTCAAACCGACACACACGAAATGGCACTGATACTAGCTGCCATACTCTATGCATTTATAAAGCACACCCACGTATAAACGTGAAAAGGGGTGGAATAAAGGTGCTCTGGGGTCCCCCGCCTTAATGACAAAGCTCAACAAGTGAGCGGGGAGTGGGTTGTGTGCAAGGGAAGGTAGAGTGGACGCGTCTTGCCTACCTTGTGAGGGTCCATTGTGGGAGTAGAGACGAGAGAAGTGCTGCTCTGTCAAGGAACAAAAGGAAGGAGAGGAAGGAGAGGAAGGAGAGGAAGGAGAGGAAGGGCAGGGTAGGGTATGACCGAGCAAGGCCAAGTGGTCAGTGGACGAGAAGCAAAGGTGGAGTGTGTGTCAGGAGGTGCAGTGGCAGCAGAAGTGGGTGCAGCGGGTACAGTGGTAGCAAGAGTGGCTGTGGCTGTGGCTGTGGCTTTGAATGTGCTGCCAGCTGGCAGGGAAGGAAAAGAGGAGGAGCTTTGTAGCTCTGTTTGCTTACCGCGCTGGTCTACTTACCGTGGTGGTCTTGTCCGCTGCGCGCAAGACAGTGAAGAGTGCAGAAGAGAGAGAAGAATGCAGAAGGGAGTGAAGGGGTGCAGAAGAGAGTGAAGGGTGCAGAAGGGAGAGCGGAAGGAGTGAGGAGTGAGGAGTGGAGAAGAAAAGAGAAGAAAAGAGAAAGAAAGAGAAGAGAAAGAAAAAAGAGCTGTGTGGTCAACAAAGATTTGGGGCACGTGCACGCTGGGGTGGCTGTGTCTGAAGTCGGTGTCAAACCCTGCAGGTATCCCACGCTCTTATTCCCTCTCTCACTAAGCGGCTTGGTAAAGGCAACGTGAGAGTGCTAATCACAATCGCGCGGAGAACCCTCAGCCGAACACATGGGGACACTTCGAGGGTCATTTATCTGTGGGTTGGGCCTAAGCAGTGCCAGCATGTGGTTACGAGGTGATAGGGGATGCAGCCAGCACATGTCAGAGCGTCAAACCCTGCACTCATGTACGCCGTGTGCTCATGTCTGGTGCATAAATGGGAATAGAGTCAGCTGGCCTGATCCTTTCTGTCTTCCGGTGACGCGTATTCTGTTTAAGCATTTTCCTCTGCAGGTTTTTTTTTCCAGGGCCATAGGAGGATCGCAAATGGCGAGCTGCTGTTTGTTCGGGCCTCTTTCCCCCTGCATCTAAGATTGGAACCAATGAAGGGATGCAAGCTGAAATGATGGCAATAAGGATCTTCCAGTCCAAGCGGGTAGAGTAGCCTTGCAAACGAGTAAGCAACATCCCACACATCGCGTCATCTGAGCATACTGCATGCATACTCCATTGTGCTGGATTGGACCTACCCGAGGGAGGATAACTGTAGACCTCAAAGTGAGCCCTGCAGCGCAGCCTCACCAGATCAGAGCATAGGAGTGTTGCATGCCGCTCTTTTTGGCCTCCATATCACTTGCAGGGAAGCGAAGATTAGGATCTACACTTTCACAAACATGAAAACGCCTAGATGCTCTTTCTTATGCGCCTCGTTTTTCTTTTTGTTTGTTATTTTTTCACTGTTCTTTCTTTCCATTGTTCTTTTTGTCTTTTCCTTTTCTCTCTGTTCCGGCACAAAAGATCGGACAAAGGAACCAATTGCGGAAACGCACTTCGTGTGTGGGCTAGAATATCAGAGCAGCTTTCAGACCAAGAACAACGGTCGAGCTGTTCGAGGGAGAGGAAGAAGGCGGGCAACAGTCCTTTGATTATTTGCTGTGTTGCGACCATGGGCCATGGTTTTGGCTGCTCATGACAGATAATGCGTTTGTATCTACAATATAGCTTTAGTTTAAAGATGTGTGGCCGTATGACAGAGATCCTTTATTGGAAGGCTGGCATTTTCAATTCCCTTTGATTTGCCATACTATTGTTCAAGGCATGTTTGCCGGTATCGCACTTTTCTCCACATTGCTTTCTAGATTGCTCTCAGAGCATCTTTATTACTGGTGATAATATCAAACAGCCATCCACGGTCGTGCCGCAATCGGCGCGGAATGCCAACTTAAGCTCACGGACCCTGAGCTCGTCAAGCTCCTGTGCCTACTCATCACACTCGCACCCTGTCCCCCGGTTTGTCCACGGCTCCCGACGCTCATACTCGTACGCGTACCCGTGCTCGTATTGGTTCGCCTCAAACCCGTGGTCGTATTCGTCCGGTTCAACCCCGAGTTATTTATCTGGGGACTCATATGCGCTGTATCCGCCGTCGCCACCGCTACTTCTGCTGCACAATCCCGCGCCTTAAGAAAATTCTGCGCCTTTTCTGATAATCGCACCTCTGGTAATCGCGGCGCGTGGTACGAAGGAATCAATGTGTCCTTTGGTGGAAATGCTGATTTCTGGTCCTTAATCGGGCCCTCTAATAACAACCAAGAAAAAAAAAAAAGGTTAGCTACTCCTCTCAAAACTTCAAGGACAGCTAGATTTTGGTCAGGATCCAGCGTGGTATGCATCAAAGTACGTGAAATTACCAAGGAACAGCTCCAATGCACTCTGGAGCATTTTCCACTCATCCTCTGTTTCCGTGTATCCCTTCAAACTGACATACTCCCGCCCCTCCGCATCCTTTTCTTCACTCTGCTCCAAGAATGGACATCCCATTAGCACCTTCAACGTCGCCGCAACCTCCGTAACTCGACTCTGACCCTGAACCTCTACTTTGCATCCTGCTGTGTTCTCGCTTCCGGGTGAGACTCTGTTCTGCTCAGGAACTCCCTGCTGTTGTCCTTCTTCCAGGGTACCCAACTCCCCAACGAGCTTCGACCGCGCCGCTGCCACATTCGCCAGATCCCTCAGTTGCTGCGAAGACGCTCGCTTCTTGGCCGTAATCTCCTGCAATGACATCTTATTCCTCTGCTTCCTATCATCTCCTCGCTCCAAGTCCTCTGGATCCTCCTCCTTCCACAGCGACAAATCCACAGGCGCATTCATAGTACGTCTCTTCATGGCCTTCTGCAGATCATTGGCCAATACCACCACATTCGATGCGGCTTCGACCGTCTCTCTTTCCTTCTCCGTCTCTTTGGTGTTATCATCATCCTCCTTCTTATCCTCCTCCTCCTCTGGCAAGTACAATGTCCCCATCATCCTCCTCCTCATCCTCCCCACTACTCTATCCACATCCCTCGCCTTCCCTTCGCTACCAATATCTCCTACAGCCGCCATACTTGTAGCATCCGACATTGGCGAAAACATTGTCCCAGGCGGTGCAGAATGCGTCCTGCTTCTGTTCTCCACAAAAAGGCTCTGCGTCTTTTTCAAAACACTCCGCACAACCTTCTCTGATGACTCTTCGCCACCTACATCGGTCACTTCATGTCCTCTCGTTCCCATTGCTATTGCTGACTTCTTAGCCGACGGTGGCACCGACTGCGTCTTCGAAGCTCCATTCCATTCCTTTTGCGCCAACAATACCCCTGGATGAAACTGCAGCTGTTGCTGCAGCTGCTGTCGCTCATGGCATAGGGGATGCATCGACGGCCACATCGCCTCGTTGTTTTTCTTCAATGACCCCTGACTTTCAGTCATCGTCATCGTCCTCGTCCTCGATTTCGTCAATGACACACTCCGCATTGGCGCCAGCGGGGAATTCGAAGACGACGTCGAAGTCTTGCGCGTCAACGGAGCTGAGAACCGGTTAAGCATCCGCAAGGGCGATTTCTTGGTCAGCGAAGGAAGAGTAGAAGACGGTCTGTCCGGAACAGTGACACCCGAAGACGAAGACGACAATATCGAAGAGCTGGACTCGGTTGTCTCGGTCATCAACTCGATCATGACCTCAGCCAGCGAAGACAGCGAGATTTTGATACAGAAGAAATGAAGACGCAACTTGTGGGCCATGGACACTTGCACCACCGGCGCTTTCTCCCTCTCCATAAGAGCTGGCCTCTCTGCTATTTCCTGGCTTTTTCCTGAACATTTCACTCCCTCATCAACTCCTGCTGAAGCGTATTTTCCTGCATGCAATACTGTTCCTGACGGCTTCAGCTGGAGACCATAGCAAGGGTTTACAACTTGATCCTCATCTTCATCCTGCGTCTCAATACCCTGCTGTCGCTGCAGTTCCTCCCTAACCTCTACCCAGTGGAGCTGTCCCCGTTCATTAATTGTCATAAAACATTTCACATAGCGCCCTGACGCTTTCTTGATCGGAATATTTGCCGCTTTCTTTCCCGAGGAAAAAGTCATCGTTGCCGACGACGACATCGACTTGGGTTTGCTGCATCCAGACACACTTATGTCCTCCTGATCGTCACCTTTTACAGAGCCAGCAGCAGTGCTGTTGGAGATGTAGAGCCAGATATATCCCGAATATGTCGGCGGACACGATGATCCTGCACATGAAGCCCTCAGAAGCGCTCGAGAAGCAAAATCTTGTGGAGATTCTGTTTTGCTCTCCTTTCGAGGCTCGTCTTCGGTGATCCTGGTGATATTCGATAACGGGTCTGGTGTGGAAGCTATTGAATTCCACGGGACATTCAAAAGAAATCGTTGTTTTCGGTCAGAAAAACCAACTCCGCATGGACAAATTTTTTTGCGAGCACAACACAAGGGCTTTCCCAATCCTTTACCCCTAGACCGCTCGATATGCTCCCGAAGCAGCTGCCTAGACCCACGCTGCGAGTTCGATCCCCCATTCCAAAATATCAGTCCCGGTTCTGTAGCCGACCTCATCCTGCGCTCCTCTTGCTGGATACGATTGTTATACCCATTATGCCTCGTCAAAGAAGCTTGTCTCGATAAAGGACTGTGCTGCAGCTGATGCAGATCCCTGTCACCCAAGACAGAGTCCACAACTGCCCACTCTTGACTCAATTTCCTCGTCAGACTCTTCTTAGGCACGACCTGCCCATCGCGGCGAATACTTCCACTGCGGCTCATGCTATTGCTCCACACACCGTTATTATCGCCGTCCCCATCCGTATTCTGATGAAAATTGGACAGGGCCGCCGCCACGTTCCATATCAGAACAGGGTCAATGGCTGGCAGAGTCGCGACATCCTGGACCGTATGACTTCGCTTCCGCTCTCCCCAAAGACCGAACCTTCCTGTGGCCCCCGTGTTCGTTGAAGTATAGGAGTTGTGACGACTTCGCTTCTTGGTCAACATGGCTGCGGTGTCCACATCTGTTGGAGGGGGCATCAACGGAAGTGGAGGCAGTGGAGGTGGTAGGAAGATCGGCGGGGCTATAAGTGATACCAATGCTGCCGGATCGAATGGTGGAGGTAAACCCTGCGACTGCGTGCAGTTCAGAGAGTTGAAGATCCTGACCCAGTTATTCAGTTCCTATATACACACACACGAAAAAAATAAAATAAAATGTTTTGCCCGCAGCAAAAGTAACGCACGTAAATACAAAGAAAAAAAAAAAAATAAAGTATCTTCGATTCACTGATATGTTCTACAGGAGACAACTAGAGATTTTTGGTCCTTACACTTTCACTAGTGGCCCGGAAGGACACTTTGGGCACATTCGGGTCCGGGGAAATGGTCAAGGTGATCATGGTCGATGACATGGGCACGATCGAGGACGATAACCTGAAGCTGTTCTGAGAGTTCTGTGGAATGACGATGGTGTCCACCGTCAAGGGCGCATGTAGCTCGATCGATTTTTTTACCGTGTCCTATCATCAGCAAATAGATAACCACTAAGTTTTTTTTTTTTTTTTTTTTTTTTGCAGCGAACAAGAGCCCTCATGAAAAAAAGAAAAGAAAAAAGAGATATGTCCACATACCTTGCACTTGTGGTATATCAACAGGTTGGTGCCCTGAAGAACGACCCATCGTTCCTTCCAGATGCCTGTGCAGTCTTTCATCCCGTTGCTGGTCAACCTACTCACTGGCCGGTTCTTTTTCGACATCTTGTACAGGACACCCTCTGCATAATGGTCGTAATAACTCAGAGTGGTACCTGGAGGCGGCAGTTGGATGTAGTTATTGCGCAGTTGCAGCTCCAGGAGACAGTGGGGCTGCAAATGATATGAACTAGTAAGCCTAGAGTCGTCCAGCCAGTGGCCCTATCGAGCGATAACCGCATCAATTTTTTTTAGAAACTTGCCATGTTAGCGCGGACAAAAAAAATTGAGCCATTCCTTGGTCCTCAGCCTTCCACCCTCCACAATAGAGAGTGATCGTAATAATAGTTAAAAAAAAACACTTACGGCTTCCAACCAAAAAAGCCCAAAGCAGGCCTTCCAGGCCGAGCACTCTGACTTCCTTGTCTCCGTCTTGGGCGCAGCCTCTTCACCCAAACAGTCTGCGAGCACGCCGCCATGATCCAGGACCTCGCGCGCCATATGTCGTGCACTTGTGCTGCTCTGTCGGCTCCTGTACTGACTCCACACAGTAGTTCCGCTGAACCGACTCGTCGAGGATCCGTCCCTGCTACCTCTGTCGCTCCCAGACATATTTCCATCATTCTTGTGTAGCAAAGAGTACGAAATCAGCCGTTGTAACTGCTGCTGGCTCAACACCGCGTGTTCCTCGCTGGTCTTGCTGCTGTAGGCGCTGCTACTGCTACTGCTGCGAAGGTGCGACAGGTGCTGGGCTTTAGACGAATGAATCTTCAAACTCTCCTGCCTTAGTCCCGGAGAAATAGTGCCGGCCCCTTGAAGTCCCTGAAGCAACGAGTCCGAAAACCCAGTATTCCTAAAAGAGGTACACGAAGGCGGAGACTGAGGAAACATGTCGTCCGCTATCAGTTCTTCCGCCTGGAGCTCTGCATCCTCATCGTTAATGCTATCCTGGTCGTTCAGGCTCTCGTCCTCATAGCTGCAGAGACTTGACTGACGGCTTCGCGGAGGTGTTGAGCTACCGTTCGTGTGCAGTGTCCGAGTGCTCATTCCATCCGATACTGAGCTCCCGGCTGTGAGATACTCCTGCGGCGATGGTCCATGCCTGCCGCGTTCCGTATTTAGTGACGCTTTGTCTATGTTGAGCGCAAGGGTACTATCGCTACCCATCCTGGACTCAGCCAAAGCCGGCCCTGACATTGTCGTGGGGGACGATGGAGCCTGGGGCGGCAACGAGGTCAATTTGCACTTTGCCAGAATCAGGTCGCGTGCCCTGTGCACGGGGATATCCCGAGGAAGGTCGACCTGGACCCAGAGGTCCTTGGGCACGTAACGTACATGGATTGTGATCACGGAGTTGGTGTCTATTTTCGGTACGATTGGTCCATTTGAGTGACTACTGGGAAGATGCTTGCTCCCGAGGAGCCGGTTTTTGAGCAAATTATTGTGCTCCATGGGAGCATGAGGAGTATCGAAAGCAGTGCTGAGATCGCTGCTCGCAGTTCTTGCCGGGGAGGGCATAATACGCGAAGGATACAGGGGCTGACTAATTTGATGGTAGAGTTTATACGGGCGATTCAGTTGTGTAGGCGATCGAGGTGAGCCTGGGGATGAGCTGTGTGTCTCAGTCTGGGAGATTAGGCAGGAAAGCGAGCGTGAAGGACTGTTTCTGAGTTGTGAGCTACTTCTGGGCGGCCAAGTTGGCTCCGTGCGCGGCGGTCGGTGCGACTGACCGAGAATTATTTGCTCATTCTGAAATTGTTCCCGCTGCAGTCCGTGCTGGTCCTTTGAGCCTAGACCAGGACGGCTGTAAAAAGAAGAGAAGGTGTTCGTTTCGACGGAAGGGTCATACTGGTGATTCCGGGGTGATGAAAAGGCCTTTTTGAGTGGACTGGTTGGAGCGGTTGTGCTGGTAGGCGAAGTCGAATTCGAGCGAGGGGGTGTGGAGTATCGAGAGTGAGACGATCCATGAAGCGGGGCGGAGGATGATGGCGGGGGTGAATCGGAGACGTACCGAAGAGGTGCAGAAGAGGTATAGTCAGGTGCATTAGATCGCGTGGGCGAAGCTATTGTGGAGCAGGTCAAAGGTGTTTCTGTTCCATGGAGACTGCCAGACGCCGATGAGGAAGATGTGGAGGAGACGCAGAGGTTGTTGCTGAGATTCAGTTCCATGGTGGATTGGCGCGTTCTTGGCATGGAGTAACAGGGAGATCTTTGTGGTCGTGAAGGCAGCCGATCAAGGTTGTCTAATTGCAAGGCACTGGGCCCGAGTTTGAATGCTGGATGTGGATTAGACTCAGAAGATGCTGCTGCTGGATGTCCCAGGGGAGGTCGGATGTGTTGATTAATATCATTAGCATAGGCATTACTAGACGTGGTATCGTTAATAGTGTTCTCCCATTGGGTTCGGTGATGATGGAGTTCGAGGGTGCTTTGGAGGAGGGAGTCGAGGGCATGAGGGTCGATGTGACTGGGTGAGCTGTGAGTGGACATGGCTATATCTCGTCCTTTGGAAAGGGATCCGAGGAGAAAGCGAGAATGGAGTAGGTGTGTGTGTGTGTGTGTATGTGTGTGTATGTGTGTGAAGGAGAGGAAGGAAGAGATAGATTTAGGGCACTGAGTGAGAATTAGTCGAGCGAGAAGAAAGAAGGAAGCGAGAGAAGAGAGGAAGAGAGTCGAAAGAGTAAAATTAATTGCAGTTAAAAAAAAAAAAAAAGGAGAAAATAAAAGTAGAGGGAAAGTGTCTGAAGGGGGCTAAAAAGAGGGGGATGGGCTGAATTGGATGGGATGAGCAGATCAAACAGCAGTAGCAGCAGCAGCCAGGTACTGAACTGAAACCTGGTGGCGACCAATACAAAGCAGGGAAGGGCGAAGTCATCCCAGTACGCGATCCACGGAACCAGTGTTCACCTGTTTGGGATGATGGAGAAAATATTGATTATAAAAGTTGTTATGTGGTCCAGATCACGAATGTTCTTCCAACAGACAACATGCATAACAGTATTATAACGAGAGAAGAAAGGATAGACTAAAAAAGGATGCATAGCATGCATAGTATGCATTATGTTGCAGCTCTATTGCTGTGTGAATGAAAAGAATCACTGTACATGGCCATGCGGCATACAGACGGCGCTACAAAAAATGCGTGTGGGCTTCCAGAGTTATTTTCCTCACCCTCGATTTATCCAAAGACAATTGCTTGCCCTGTTCCAAAAAGCGGTATTGTCCAAGGTACCACGGAAGCTACTCATACAGCATACAGCATACAGCATACAACATACAACATACAGTAACAATGCCTATGCATACCGACTTGATCAGCAAGCACATTACAATCAAAAATAGATAATATACAGATCTAGAAGGGGAAAGTAAGGAGAGACAAAGGAGATAGTTGGACATACTCGTGCGTAATCATATCGGTAGCAGATCAAGTGAAGGAAGAAGGATCATCCCAGGACCCTGTTGGACCGAACCATGGCGGATCCTTTCGCAAACACGCCCTCTTCGGTTGTATGCAGACTCCATTTGAGTTCAAACCTCTGAAGTCCACGCCTGGCAGCGTTTTTTTTTTTTTTTTTTTTTTTTTTCTGGATGTGCGGGCTATTTAATACAGTAAACTAAATCGTCATGCTGCAAGGATTGCCTCCTTTTTTTTCCGGAGTTGCAGAGTGTCCCTCCATTAACTCTATTTTAATGCTGCATGAACCTTACGCTGTCGATCTTCTCTTGGACATAGCTCGGTGTAAATAGGAGGGAGCAGCAAATCCGCTTCTTATACAGCCCTCCTTCACTTTTATTTCTCTATGTCCTCTCCACCTTAGAATATCGTTCATAATACTCCCATCTTTGATATCTGCTGTGTTAGTTCCGCAATAAATAGAAAAAAAAAAAAAAAAAAAAAAAACGCGACATACGATACGATAGATCAACAGATCTTTCTCTTAAATAGACTCATACTTTAGGCAAAGGAGTGGTTCCGAATAAATCGAGCAAAAAACAAAACAAAACAATCAAAGACACATTCTTCACTGCCGCATAAACTAGCAGACATGAGCACAACAGGCCTGCACGGATACATCACCCTATTGTGTTTCACAGGTGACATACAGCCCTAATTCGGAGGGGAAAGGGGGGTGGGGAAATCCATCAGGCGGAGAAAATGCGTGTGTGGTTTTATTTTCTTCTGGCAAAATGCATGTTACTATGTAGACGACTCAAACAACACGTCAACTAACGCATACATCCACCAAGTCTTCTAAGTTCTAACACACATACCTGTATTACCATCTGCTAGACCAGTAGTTTATCAGGAGCATATTTTTGTTTGTGTTTTTGACGGGAGTCATTATACCTCGTCAGCGATCCCACAGGATCCCCAATTGCTTTAAATGCAATGCCTGCCCACATTCACAAATGCAACTATGTATTCGGCTTGCACTTTATTGTCATTTCTCTCTCTCTCTATCTCTCTCCCTCTCTATCTCTCTAACCTGCTTTCCGTGAGGTGTCTCTTCCAAGAAACTGCTCCACTTTGCTTCTAGTTATCTTGATTTATTAAGATTCAGGAGTACGTGTAAAGTTTCCATAGATTTAAAACACCGCACCAATAAGTACCTCCGCCTACGCTTTTACTACTTCTGCTGGGCCTGCTGTACGTTATTATACATGCTCCAGGCCGATACCCTGCCTCGCTCCAACACCTTCTCCAACACCTGCTGCTTCGCCGGATCCGTATGTAGCCTTCCTTGGACGACCTTCAGCTCCGGCAGGTTCTCGAGCATCCATTCTACATCCTCGACCTCCATCTGCTGCTCCACCCCCGTGAACCTTAGCATCCGTAATCGCTTCAGTGTCGAAAGCTGACCTAATCCTGACCGCAACCGAATATCGAGTCCACCACTGGCTCCTGTAGCCACAGCCGTAGTCTGAGGGCCTATGGATGATATTGAGGGTGGGGGTGTCGAGGACGAAGACATGGACGACATTACAGCGCCATCGCCCACATTTTCTGCCGTTGCATTCCTTGGATTATCATTGCTAATGCTGGTGTTGGCGCTGCACTTCCCTCCAATGGACAGATAAACTAGCTTGTCCAGTTTCGCGAGCTGTTCAAACACCTGCCAATGCGTCCTCACATCTTCCATCCCATTCGCGAACCCAGTAATATGCAGGTCTAAATACTTCATTCCCGTACACACCCATCCTCCATCTTCCTTGTCCCCCCTCTCCTCGTCCCGTTCATCTCGGTTCCACCGCTGACGCCTTTGCCCACTCGATAGCAATATATCCCTAGCCAGGAGCTGGTTCCCATCAAAGCTTTCTAACAATGGACACTCCTTTAGAATTTCAATCGTCATCTGACTATCCAGCCCAGGACACTGATATAAATCCAAGAACCGCAGTGTCCGGAAATGTCCCCGCTCCTTCAACGCCATAAACGCTTCGCCTGCAAAATCACTCCTTCGAGCTTCAAATCGCATCAAACCACCCAATACCGACCCATTCGTACCCCTCTCTTGCTGCTGCTGCTGCTGCTGTTGCTGTTGTTGTCGATAAAGATGATGATACTGTCGCCCATTCTCCTTCGTACCCATACTAGCATTCGCACTCTCAGTGACATTCGTCGTACTCCACAGGATCCTTCTCAATTCCTGATCCGTCAACCTCGACTCTGGCAACACCAAACTGTGCAGTCTCGGCCAACAGCCGTCCCTCATCGCCTCACAAAGCTCCTCCACCGGGAACCCCAACCTCGGCACTCTCCAATCCAAAGTCCTCAATTCTGGACACTGCCGCATCAGCAACACCTGGCTCTGCAAGCTCGTATCCCGGATCCTCCCAAACCTCAATTCCTCCATCCGAGGGAACCGAAGCGAGGTATAATACTCTGCGGGGAGCTGTCGTAACGAACACCGTTCCAGGTCCAGAGATTCCAGACGCGTACACATCTGAAGGAAAGGTTTGATGTGCTTGTAGACTTGTAAATTCACGAGGGATTGAAAGGACGATAGGCGTGGACAGGGACATCGCGCTGTGCCCGAGAGTGTGGGCGCAGCGGCCAAGGCGCGCCAGAAGGATCCACCGGGAGACTTGCGTTCGACATAGACCTCAATGCGCGTCAGGTTTCGGTTCCGGAGCAAGAGATTCGTCAATTGGCTGTGGGTTCCCTCCAAGAACTTGCCTTGCTGGAATTCTTCTCTCTGTCTCCTCGACCGTTGCTGTTGCTGTTGCTGTTGCTCGATTGCTTCTGTGTTACTCAACAGCGTCCCCTGATAATGCTGTTCCTTCACAAGTCCCATAGTTTCGTCGCCCACACCACTATCCCTCCGGCCCTTCTCCCCTCCCAGTGTTGCCCCAGTCGGGGCTAGATCATTATCCTGTCCTTGCCAGTACCCTTCCTCCCCTTCCTCCCCGTCCCCTCCCACCCCTCCTTCTCCCTCACTTTCTTCCTCCTCCTCATCTTCATCCTCATCCTCCTCATCCTCCTCATCTTCAAATGCATCCGGCCAGAGAATCAAGGTCTCCAACCTCTCACACCTCTTCAACACCCTCTCCAACCCTCTCAAATCTGCCAACGATAACGTTCGGATGAAATGTGAATGTCGTTCCATATCCTCGGGTGAGATATCGTTCGCGGTCTCGATGTGGCCCCACAACACCGGTTGGAAGGCGTGGAGCCAGGCTCGGGAGACGAGGACGCATGTGAGGGCGTCGCGTTGGGAGAGAAAGCTACCGATGTGGGCCAGGATCTCGGGCAGGTCCAGTGCATGGAGGTGAAACGAGGGAGCTGGGGCGGTCGACATAATGGTGAGAAAAAAAAAGTGAGCCGTTATGATGATAGTGTGTAGTATGTGTGCTTTGTCGCGAAAAAGGGACCTGTTCAGTCGAGTCGAGTCGGGGGGTGAGGAATGGAGAAATGGAGGAATGGGCGGTTGGAATGAGCAAAGGCTGTCAAGAGTGAGGGAAAAAAAAAAAAAAAGAAGCACGGGAGGGTATGCGCGAAGAAGAATTTCATTGACGAATGGAGCCAGCTTGCGAGTTGTGTGGGAAAAATAATCTCGAGCACACCACTCCCGTCCCACTCACGACACGCACAGACACTCTTTATCAACTCTTCGGTAGGCTGTCTGCTAATGGCCCTCAGTGTTTACACCTCACTGCTACTGTCTGTCTGTCTGTCTGCGCATTCCCATGCCATGGCATTTTGACGGCCAGCTTGTCTTCATTACTGGAAATGACATATGACATATGAACATGAGTGGAGGATGAAAAAAAAAAAAAAAAAAGTAGTCGCGACTGGGCGAAGACCATGACAATTGCTCTCATTCGACAGTTCATAAGAGCACCCAGTCAGCTGTCACGCGATACCCCACACTCAGAGCATGAATCAATTGGATGGCGAACCGTGCGCATCTCAACAACGCGTATCCGTACATGAACACGTACACGCGCCTTAATGCCCCCATGACTGGGTATCACCATGAACACTCGCATGTTAATCGTTTTGTTCATGAGCTCCATATTTCCTTTCATTCTTTTTTTTTTTCCGTTACTAACATAGTCATACAGATACAATGTCTGCGATAAAAGTACAGTGAAATACTCTAGCGCTCCTGAAGGCCTCCTTCCTTCCATCATCATCTAAATTGCTCCCAATACATACTTCCTCCAGCATCACTCCCACCAGCATCCGACCTACCATTCAGCCCTGTCGTATCCATACTCGCGCTCTTACCCGTACCTGTACCCATTCCGCCTGTCAATTGCATCACCGGTCCTCCTCCTCCTCTTCCTCTTCCTGGTCCTGTTCCTGTTCCTAGTCCTAGTCCTAGTCCTAGTTCCCGAGATCCTGTCCCGGTCACGCCCACAATGTCGGACATAATCGCACTCGAATACGTTGTTGGAGGTGTCGCCAAATTCGACACCGAAGACCCTGATGCCGACGCCATAGGAGAAGACGACATTGACATTTGCGATCCATTCGGGGATCTCAGGTTCATAGTGTGCGTAGAACCATGGTAAGCCAGAACCTGATGCTGTTGTAACTTCTGCTGCTGTTGCTGTTGTTGAGATGCGTGCTGCATCTGCATTTGCTCATATTGCACCATCGATTGCCCAGGAGGTGTCTCTTGCGCAACACCAGCGCCGCTTCCACCCTGTACACGAATAATCTGTCTATTATCCTGAATCGTCATGAACGCCTGCTGCTGGACATTCTGCGGCCGCTGCTGCTGTTGTTGCTGTTGCGGGTATGTCGACTGATTTATATGCTGTGCAATCACATTTTCCTGCTGTCCCCGCTGAAACCGCTGCTGTTGCTGTGCTTGAGATTGCTGTGATTGCTGTTGGAGCAACTGTGTTTGACGCTGTCGCTGCTGCGTCAGCAGATTATGCTGCCACTGCCTTTGCATCTGCTGTTTCTCCTGCTGTTGTTGCTCTTTCAGCTGCAGCTGAAGACTTGCGCCCGTACCTGTACCCGTACTCAAACCCAAATCTGAACGTGCAAAGGGTATATTCTGAGATTGCTGTTGCTGTTGTTGTTGCTGCTCCTGTAAATGTCGCTCCATAGGCTGCGTCGACGGGGACTGCGTATTCCCCAAGGTAGAGTGCTGATGCATCGTTGGACCCCTCTCGTTCGTAAGCACAGCCAACATGTCTATATCACCCTGTCGGCCCTCACCCTGGCGACTCATTGGTGCTGAAATGGTATACGCATTGTTGCGCGCATTGCTGGATTGTTGCTGTTGCTGTTGCTGTTGAGCGTACTGTTGAGGAATTGGCTGTCGCTGTTGTTGAACATCCATCGGACCTGGACGCTGCAAGCGAGTGGGCTGCATTGATTGAATCGATCGCTGTGCATGGATCTGTTCATGTTGTTGCGATCCTCGCGAAGTCTGCGCCTGCGCCTGCGCCTGCGGTTGCTGTTGCTGCTGGTACTGATGCGGCTGCGACTGGAGCTGAACCTGAAGGCTCTGATGCTGTTGCTGCTGTTGCTGCTGTTGATACTGTAGTTGTTGCTGTTGATGCTGTTGATGCTGCTGAAGGAATAACTGCTCACTCATGTACATGAGCTGTCTCTGTCCCAGACTTACTCCCTGCATACCAGCTCCTTTCTCCGCGCCCTGTTCCGCCATGCCATTGCCAGATATAACGACTCCGGATGACTGCTTAACTGCCGCAGTATGAGACATAATCGAGTCCACAGGTCCCATGCCAGAGCCAATGTTGTCCTGTTGAGAATGTCGCTGCTGTTGTTGCTGCTGTTGAATTTGTGGACCGGATACGGTAGATGGCCAGGTAACGGGTATGGCTCTAGGCGATCCAGAAGGAGTCATAGACGTATCGTTGCCAAGGTTCCCGATATGCGCCATAGATGGAGTTGGTGTTACCATAGCACTCAATGGACCGTACGCGCTGAGATTTGGTGCAGACGCAGTGTTGTATGTTATTCCATCACTGTTGTACGTGGAACTGTCTAAGCTGGAAGCGACTGTCTCAACGGCGACATCGACAATGTCCTGCGGTATTGAGTCATCTAGAGCTGTGATGGTGGACCTGGAGATCCCGTCCGAGCTTCTAGGCTGATTTGCTGTCGTTTTGCTTCGATTCAAAGTCGAGCCGGTGGATCCTGAAGCTGCATTAGACGCGCCCCTCCGTTTTGGTTTTCCAGTGGTGTTAGGTTTGTATGTCCTGATGACCAGTCCAGGCACGTTGGAGGCACCGGTAGACCCGTCTGTTCGTGCTGCTGATGGTCCTATAAAACCATTTCCGGTGCAACCGTGTCAGAGACTCATTACATATCAAGTTCATCGAAAATCCCTGATCCCCACTCACCATTCTTGTCAAATAGGTCCGAGATATTATTGTGCATCACACTGTGATACGACATAGCAGGGGAAGCAGCATCGAGCAAACCTCTCCTCGGCACAAGCCCCATGCCCGGATGCAGCAGCGGCTGAATATCCTGGTGCTGAAGGTGCTCCTCCAGATGGTTGTCCTTCGAATAACGATGCCTCTCCTGGTACAACAATCTCATTTCCAGGAACCGCATTGACTCATAATAGGTCCGCTCGTGCAACGACTCCTGCTCTGATTTGTTTCCACTGGCGGTCCCCTCATCTAGAATGACCCCGCTTTCCTTTGCGCCACTCATATCCATATTCGTGCTGGCCATACTGTTACCATGATCAAAGAATTCTGCATCGTATTCCGCCAACTTCTGTCGCTGCCGCTCCATCTCCTGTTCCCGATCCATTTCCTGCTCCTGCAGAATGGCTGCGAGCGTCCTTTCGAGGGACCGGATACTCGAACTGATACCATCGACCGTCCAGTGATAGATCGAAAATTTGCGGAGCGACCCCAACGACCTATGGAATTGATCTACTGCCTGCTCTTTTCTCTGAATCGCCTCAATGAACTTGGCACTTGGACCACATCCGCCAGACCCAACTCCCGTTTCTCGGGCTGGCGCTGGGATGGCGGCCACCATTAGATGCACCCTTGCTGCATGCAGCAGAATGTAAGCCCCTGCTCCGAAGCGCTCCAGATGTGTCAGGTTCTGACAGCGTTCTGCCAGCTTCGTGATCCTGCGAGCAGCCTGCGAACACACTGACATCGAATGACATCCTTCCGTCGTCATGGGAGCTTCTGATTCGGAGAGACACTTATTCTGTCGTGACATGGGAGTCGTCGGCATCAGTTCTCCAACGCGCACACTCGGTCGATGAAGAAGAATAAGAACAACATAGTAGATTCCATGCATAATGTCTGTCGTATCAGCAAGATGGAACGGGTGTCAATGAGCGTGAACAATGGTGGATTATGATTCCAAGCCTCAATGGCACGTTGTGCCCGTCAATTGATTACCTCCGTAGACGTTTGGATGGGTCTGAAGATTATTCCACTGAAGATGTGGTGGGAGTGCCTGCACCCATTCTGTTAGATCCTTGTCCAGTTCCGCTACCAGCACATCCTGTTTCTGGTTTGCAACATGTTGTCTCGTCAACATATCCTGGTGTGATTGGGTGCCACCCATTGCTGTTCGGCCAGCGTTGGTGGTAGTGTCTTGCCCCGATTGACCGTTGGATGCCGATCCTACTCCCCCAGCCTCGCTTACTCCGCCTTCCTGTTCTCCCGATTTGGACTTTGAGCGGCTAGACCTCTTGGATCTCTTCCTGGATACCGGCGTAGACGTAGGCAGCTCATTCGAAAGCATTCCCGCAACGAGTGCTCTTCCACCTGCATGTCCATATACACTACGTGAACTACAGTGGAAATTGCTGCCCGAGATGTTTGTTGGATACAGGTTGTTCATCACCCGACCGAGCAATGCTGATAAATGGATCAAGTTCACCATATGCTCCACATCCTCCTGATCCTGTGCTGGGTTACGAGCCAATGGATCCGGTTTCGGTTTCTCAGCCCCACAGTCCTGGTCCTGAATCAGGTAAGGTCTTCCGTAGCTGGATCCCTGGACCCGATCGTATACATAGAGATACCACCATGTCCTATTCCTGTATTCGACCTGTATCGGATTCAATCCCCATCCAGAACAATTCCTGTTCAGGCCCATGTCCACAGCCATCCGGACCGCCATTCCAAAATACATGTAGCTCTTCGTCAACACGCCCTGATCCCTGGATTCTACTAGATGTTTCCCCAGCAAAAACAACCCCTGAACAGTCGAGAGTCGAGGACAATCCAGAAACTCGTCCACGAATCGACAGGCTGTCTTGCAGTAGTTCTCTCCAGCAGTTTGAGCGCGCATTGGGTCCGATCGGCACCTTGGATCCGAAGAGTACTTGGACGCGATCGCAAAGATTGACAGTAACAGGAACGGCGATTGCTGCACCCCTGCGTCATACTCGTCTAGGAACAGAGTCGGGACAATTGGCATGAATCGATTGACCTTGGAGAAATAAAGCACGATCAGTTCCCGGGCCAGTTGCTGTGAGGGGAACTGAGACAAGACTGCTGCAGATTGTGACACCACCGGGAACTCGGGATCGCGGTACGCCGGGGTGTTGCCTGTAGCTGTATCCACAGATGGGCTGACGACTGCATCCACGACTGAGACGCCTAGGCCAAGTCCCGATCCACGGAAACGTGTACATGGCGAAGAGGAGTCCTGAATTTGGTTGTTGACTGTGAGGGAAGCAACCGAGGGTCCAATGCGCCCGGTATAGGATAGGGGGTCGGCAGTGAGGGTGGGCTCGTTGGCAGATGATGGCAGAGGGTCTGGGACAGTTGCATTGACCTGGCCTTGGGGTCCTATCGACAATGAAGAAGCCGTTCCTGTGATCGAGGATGATGTCGAGTGTCCAGGCGCTGCAAACGATGTTCCATGGCTGTTCGCTGATACTTTAGGAGAAGTAGGGGGTAGGATGGGCAGGACGGGGCTGCAGCAGAGGTAGAAGGACGAGGACTCTCCGAGGAAGCGGCCCTTTTCATCGACGTTGTAGTGGTCAAACAGGGCCTCGAGGTGACGGAGGTTCCGAGGGATAGGATTCATGACATGACACTGGTCTCGCACGAAAGGACCTCTGACCCGACAGAGCGGATACAAAAATAAACAGATGAAAAAAAAAAAGAAAGAAAAAAAAAAAGAAAAAAAAGAAAGATGTGTTAGAAGGGATGGAGGGGATGGAGAAAAGGCGGATGGCGTAAAAGTGATCACGAATGGAGAAGGAAAAAAAAAAAGAAAGAAGAAGGGTATATCGGCTGATAGTCCAGCCGCCCGGTTGGGTTGTCTACAGCGGATGAAGGCGACATCCAGTGAAGTCCCTTTCCTCCTCTTTCCTTTTCTTCCTTAAGGCGTTGAGCACACGGCTGTCCGGCTAGTCTACTGCAACTGGCCCCTGCAAAAAACATGCTCTTGACGCGTGCTGATTGGTTGCCTCAAATTGAGTTTGCACACATTGAAAACAAGCGGGGAAAGAGTGGGAGGAGCCATGTTTCAGGGTCCCATTGGACTAATTTTTTTTTTTTTACTATTTATATTCATTTACATATTTTATATCCATTTATATTCCCATGCAATGCGTGCTAGATTGATACGGTTCGACATTATTAGCTCCTGCGGTCTGGACCACCACTTTAGACGCGCTTAAGCGAATCCTCCGCGCGGATCTTGGCCTGCCTAGCCTCCATGTCCGACTTCTCCACAAGCTCCTCCACCTTGTTCTTGCCCTTCTCGGTCTCCTCAATCAATGCCTTCTTCAGCTCCGCAACCTTCTCCTTCACATCCTCAGCAGTGTCCTTCGCTGCCGCAACAGTCTCCTGGATCTTCTCCTGCACCCTTTCCTGCACCGACTCCTCATTCTTCTCCACAGTCTTCTTTGCGTCCTTGGCAGTCTGCTTCACTTCCTCCACAACTTGGTTACCGGTGCTGCTGACCTGTCCAGTCAATTCGCGCAGTTGCTTTTGAAGATCCTGAGGGATATATTTCGAAAGATCAGACTGGTTCGCGCGTGCGATCAAACGGTTCGACGACGAGGGGAAGAAGTATCCAAAGGCCAGGGCAGAGAAGGCGACGGGGGACAGGAAGCGGAGCAAAATATTGCCTATTCAATTGCAACGCAAAGAAGATACAGGATGTTCAATAAATCAATTCCTTTGTACCTGTCATGATGCAATGCGTACACAGTTTTGTATGACTAGACACATACGGCGTCTGGCAAAGATCGATCCAGCAAAGCCGGCAACAACGACATAGATCGCAGCAGGCATGACTTCCTCCTCCTTGACCAGAACCGACTTGATGTTGCCTAGATTGAAGAGGATAAAGTAATAATAATACATGAGGAATGTTAAAATTGACATGACGCAATAGCTCGTAATGGAGAATCTACCGGTGCAGTGCATTCCGCTAAACTGTCGAGACAAGAACCAGAACACTTACCCTCAGCCTCCTTCTCGAGATCGACAACCTTGTTGGTGGCCATCTGGAGATGGTACTTCATGCCTAAAATCTGACGATCCGTCTCCTTGCGTGCTGCGCGAAGGACCTCATCCAAGCGCGTGGGTTCCTCCTTAACCACCATCTCAGGCTCAGGCTCGTCGTAAATAGGGAGCTGAGTTGACAAAGGTAAAAGAAGAAGAAGAACGTTAATGCCCGCATTGTATATTAAGAATGTTCCAACAGACACAGATCGTTCCTGAGCAATTGAGTCGATCAAGAAGGTACTGGAGATTCAAGGGTAAAGGACATTCCACGCCTCTGCTTACCTTCTGCTTGCGCTCCTTGCCCTCCATGAAAGCAACAGCACCGCTAGTGCTGGCCATGAGTCCGACGCTGGCGCCGAGGACGACCAAGGACTTTGTCTGCGAGGCAATTGAACACGAGAAAGGATTTACTTGTTAATGGCATTGATCAGGTACCACTCCTGACACAGTTCATTTTTAGTCGATATGAGGCGCGCGCTTAATGGCAGTTCCTGGATGTATATGTCGTCCCGGTAATATGTTAAGGTATGAGTTGGTTCTAGTAGCCTTGCTATGCGCAAAGTCGAGCTCACTTCAGCTCCAGAGTGTCCCAGTTGTTGGTGATCTCGTAATTGAGCGTCGCGAAAAGTAGATCAGCACCAAGTTTCCCGGCATGGCTCCTGTTCCTGTTGCAGCTCCGGAATAGATCCCCCCGACTGGCCTGTACCTTCAAGGATTGTGTAGCACGGAACATGGTATATGAAAATAGAGAGATTTGATGAAAAAGAGTGGGGAGTGAGGGATTGATTGACTAACTGTTGCCAACAATGAGATCATCGGAGCAAAAAAATCACGGAAGTGTGCCTGGCCGTTGAAAGTCACGTGGATCTGAATGGTGAATGCAATTTTAAGGGTCACTCTGAATGGTGATCATTCCAATCGAACTGGACATGCCCAATCAGCATCCCTTCATTCCTCAAGGAGTAGGTAGAACAGATCAATATTCACGATCTGCTCATTCAGCACAACCAACCGCACCATTCAATTCGAAAAGATCCAGATTTCTGAGTAAAATGACATTTATTTTGAATGAGGGTGGCGGTCTACTATATCATCTGGGGTCTAAAACATTGCCTTCGCAGCGGGCCAGGAGATTTGGGGGTTGTAAAAACTTTAAAAACGCATTTCAATATGATGGAGTTGAGATCATTCATCGATGCAGAAAGCTCAGGCTCAGGTTTTTTAAGCCAAAATGTACTTATTTTTCCTCCTGGGCGCCACTTTACTATGTTAACTGGGCCCTCAAGAGATCCAAGGCTCTTGATACTGAGTGAATCCGTGGCAGTGAATGTTCAAACAAGTGCATTCTTTGCACATTCCGTGATTCTGAATACAAAGAAATATCACATTTATCTACCGGCTGTCTATGAACGAACAAAAAGTGTATATACAACATCATACAGCTGTGTGCCTAGTTCTTGTATGTCCAGATCGCGGAACCATCGCCCTGGAGAACGGGGTGCTCTGAACGGTGGTACAGGTTTCTGGCACGGATGTAAGGGTCGAGCTTGAAGTACGCGACCCTCAATTCCTTGCTCACCGCCAGTCTCTCGGCCTCAATAACCTCCTCCGAGCGAGCGCCCTCTGTCTTTTTGCATGCGATCCACTCGCGTGTCAGGGCCTCAAACTTCCACATGATGGCCTTCCACTCCTCAAGCAGACGCTCGCGCGTTTCTGTGTCCTTCATGCGGTCATTCTCACCAGCGACGGGAGGGATGTACTCATATGTGTACTGTTCATCCAAGTCAAAAGAAAGTATGATTAATGGAGTTGTTCAAAAGACAAAGCAACACGAAAGATGGAACAGGCATCATTACAAATGAACACTATGTTCAACATACCTGATCCTTGCCGCCTTCATACTTGTTAGGGAGATGCTCGGGATCAATAAGCTCGGTCAGCTCCTTGTCGCTACGAGTGAAACGGATCTTTGAGGCGACGACGGGGTCCAGCCAAGGCTCGATGATCTTCCAAACACCCCAGAACACCAATGGTGCCTTGTGAATGATAAGCACTCCGAGCGACTCTGGGTAGTATGCCTCAAAGCATTGCACTAGGAACTTGACAAATCTAAAAGCGAAAAAAAATGAAGGATGTTAGTTCAATGCTGCGTTATTTAAAAAAAGGGGAGGATTGATTGCTGTTTTGCGGCTGTGGTACATGAACGGCTCCTTACCCATAATCCATATTGGCGAGTCCGAATCCAGTCATGTCAAAGACCAGGCACGCGGTCTCAACTGGGGGCTGGATCAGCAAGCGGCCAGTCTCCATAACGTAGATGGTGAACTTTTCCAGTGCCTTGGCGTCCTGGTCTGCGGGCTTGTGCAGTCTAACGTTAATGAAAACGACGGGGCGTCCCGTCTTGTCGGTGCCGTGGACATAGGACTTGCCCAGCTCCATTTGCAGCTTGAAACCGCGGTACTTAGTATCGAGCTCGTCCTCGTTCTTGGACTTGACCTCCTCAATGTCGTCCTCAAGACGCCACTTGAACGCCTTCAAGATCATGTTCATGCCGTTGGTCACATTCCACTTGCGTGCTCTCAAGAATCGAAGCAGAAGCGAATCTAACCGAGAGTTAAAAGGAATATGTAGACAGTGAGTTAATAAACACATCTAAACAGCTGAATGCGAAGCAATTGAACGCAAAAGGGAAAGGGTGGAATGACAAAGAGGAAAGGCACCGTACCAGGATGATCTCCAAGGATATTGTTCCAGAGAGCAGGGCGAAGCTGTTCGACCGAAAGACCAATGTCTGCAAGGTTGATACGGGTGGTAGGGGTCTCCTCCGCGGCAGCAGGGGCAGCCTTAGAGGTACCGAACCAGCTCTTCTTTGCAGTCGCGGTCTTGGACTTGACGGAAGCGGTCTCAGCATTTGCTGAGGACGGAGCAGTAAGCAAGTCATTAGGGACATTGACCTCGCCAGAGTCGGCTATCTGGAAGATCTCGGCCCACATCTGCTTGAGAAGCTCTTTCTGGTCGGGAGTCAGCGCGCCGACGAGACCGGTGCCTGGAGGAGTGGGGAGGTCAGTCTTTGCCATTGTGGAGGAAGAAGAATAGGAGATGGAGAGATGTAGGGCAACAGCAAAAGAGGACGAGGCAGATGATGAGGAAGGTGGGATGAGAAAGCGGATGAGGGATGAGAAGAAAGAGGATGAGATGGGGCGGGCGGCACTAAGACGGCCGCTGTAGTCGTCATTATCGTTGCCCCACTGGGGATTGGCTATCTCTCCTTCTGCCCCTGACAAGATTTTCTTATGCCAGGCTCTTTCTCTCCACACACCGCACACACACACATGGGCAAACAGAGACGCCGTATCCAACTGAATGAAATTCCACTTGCACTAAGGGAAATTCGCTTGTGCAACTTGTGCAACCCCCCCCCCCCCCTTCTCTCCCATTGGTCACCTCAAATGCTCACTCCCCACATCCGCCTAGTCTATCATCCCGCACCGCCCTGCCCCGCCCACCGCCATCACGATAACCATCATGATCCCTGCTGTCAGGAGTGGGTCCAGGGGGAAGGGTTGTGACTGAAGTGGCGCCGAGATGTTGGGTCGACACGTTTCAAACCAATTATCCCGCTCCAGCCGAGTGTTCATATGACTCTTGCGCCAGATACAAAGGGACTCCATGGGGCATTGCACTTCATTGCACTGCAGTGCATTGCATCGTGCTTCGCATGCACGATCCCACACGCAAAAATTCTGGGAGCCGAGCACCAGCCATGTCGATAGGTTCTACTCTACTGGACATGTGTTGACCAACGGCAGCCGAAATTATTTCATTTTTGTGCCTGCTTTTGTGTTTTGTGTATGTGGAGTCGGTGAAGTGGAGAAAGTAGCCTAGTAATAATCACTGCTGAAATATCTTTCCCCCGCCCTCCCCCCCCCCACGACTTTCTCGAGGGGGACAAATGGATCTATCATATGTCAATAGCCGACTTTTGCACCAACGAATCATTTAGCCATTGCTCATTTTTATTCGTGAGTTCGCAAGAAGCAGAAATATACAAAGAACATTCACCGAAAAGAGAGAGAGAAAGAGAGGACTGGGGAGAAGGAAAAAGAAAATATCAGACTCAGTTGTTGTAGACCCAGTGAACACTTCCATCCGCATTCGCAACTGGCGGCGTCGTTCGGTGGAACATATTCCTCGCGCGGATGTATGGGTCCATCTTGAAGAATGCCAACCTCAAGTCCTTCGCCACCTGCTCCCTCTCCTTCTCAATCTCCCCCTCTGACCTTTTCGATGTTGCCTCGGGTGTTCCGACCTGGATCCATTCTCTCGTCAGCGCCTCGAACTTCCAGAAGGTCTCCTTCCACTCTGTCACAAGCTTCTCTTTCGTCGCCGTATCCTCCATGATCTTGTTCTCTCCAGGCTGAGCATGTGGGTACGAGTACCTATAGCGGTCCAGTCCACCCTTATATCGGTCTGGCAAATGATTTGCTGGGATGTGTTCGAGCAAATCCTGATCTGAACGCGTGAATCGGACCTTGGAAGCAACCACGGGATCCAGCAAAGGCTGGATCATCTTCCAGACACCCCAGAAGACGAAGGGAGCGCCGTGGATGATGATGCGGCCCAAAGATTCTGGGTAGTAGGCCTCAAAGATCGTGACAAGATACTTGACCATGGCGAAATCCATATTGGAGAGTGAAAACCCAGTGAGGTCAAAGACAAGACAGACGGTCTCGACGGGGCGCTCAAGCAGAACACGGCCACACTCCATCACGTAGATGGTCAGTTTCTCGAGGGTCTTTGCGGGCTGATCACCGGGATGGTGAAGGCGGACATTCAGGTACCTGTTTTTGTTGAATCGGATACTTAGTTAAGGGAATTATAATGCTATTGAGTAAAAGACAATGAGTAATGGAAAGCTGAACTTACGCAACGATGCGATTGTCGAAATCGGTACCGTGGATGTAGAATTTACCCATCTCAAGCTGCTCAAAGAACTTGGGATACTGGGCGTTGAGCTGAACATCGGTCGAGTACTTGACTGCAGGAATGTCCTCGTCCAGTCTCCATTTGAAGGCCTTGAACAGCATATTGAGCGCATTCATAACGTTCCACTTGCGCGCACGTACAAATCTCAGCAGCAAAGCATCTGCAGAAACAAGAGATTCCAAACAGTGTTAGCTCAACTGTATTATCCCAGAGTGAGCAACATTGGTTCCCTCAAGAAGAAAGAATGGAAAAGCACTTACCGGGATGATCACCCATAACGTTGTCCCATAGAATCGGTCTCAACTTGTCTACGCTCAATCCCAAGTCCGCCAGCGAGACCTTGGCCATACCGGCGCTATATCCTGCTGTCTTGGCATCCGATTCGGCCTTGGCGGACTTGTTGCTCGAGAACCAGCCCGCCTTAGCTGCCGCTTGGACTGTAGCCGATTGAGCGCCTGCGCCGGACTTGGCCTCCTTCTCGACCTCGCGCATCATGTCCGTGGAGACGACTGCTTCGCCAGAATCCGCAATCGTGAAGATGATGGACCACACTTCCTTGAGGGTCTTTTTCTGCTCGGGCGTCAGGCAGCCGGTGTAGCCGGTTCCTGGAGGTGTGGGGATGTCGCCTTTTGCCATTGTGTGTTGTTGTCGTCGTTATAAAGGAGGTGAAGTAAATGAGAGAGATTGGTGTTGAAGAAACGAACAAGGGGAGTTCGCGCTTTTATAGCTTGTCCAGCGGTTGGGGCGAGGCAAAGTCCGTTGACCGATTCCTCGGATACGACGATACCAACTTTGTGGTTTTTGACACCGGTTATTCCACCATACAAGCCGAGGTTTATTATGGTTAGTACTCACTTCTTAACCTCAAAACAATGGATATGGTATAATAGTGTTACAACTCGGAATAAAGGTACAAAAAATAAATGAGCGCCTGAAGCTGGTAACAAGGTTAATAAATTTGAGGACGCATTGGTTATCCATGCAACACAAGCGAAGACACGAGATATGGAGTGTGGGGTGAGAATGGCTCAACCGACGAAGGGGGGTTTTTTTTCGTACTGTGGTGCGTGAGAGAACTAAAACTAACCTTTTCTTTCGGCTGCAAGCAATGCGTACAACTGCAGTCACTGGGCTCGTAACAGCGCGTTCATGTGCTCATGCGTACGCACCGACGTTTATTACAAAGGCTTCGGATATGAAAATCTGCGTGTGGAGCGCGGACTTTCACAGGATAGACGGGGCACCATAAAGTATAATTATTATGCATGTGTTAAACGTAAATTTAATTGTCTACTACCCTCCCCCTCCCCCAAACACACACGCATACACACCAACTTCGTATCCGGCCGCAGCTGCAAAAGAAAAATTCAGGCAGTGTTGGTGAGGACGTGTTTTCGCTTGGGAATGGCCTCCTTAGCATTTGCTGTAACACCAAAATTAGATGGCTGAATCGATGTCGGTAATTCAGCATTCCAGTGTCATTTCTAGGAATTGCGTCCTTAAGCACATTTATCAACTCGGACTGCGAGCATTGACTTTCTCCCAGCGTACCTGATTTCCTCAGAACGAGATTTGCAAACAGGGCGAAGCACCTTTTTCCTATAAGTCTCTTCGCCGCCTTCCTTCTCTCCACCATGACTACCACTCAGTTTTAATCGTCCTTAAAAACACGCCGCAACGGGGCACATATCTTAATTGCACCGATCATTCACCGGAGGAGCCCTATAGTCTGGTAGAGTCTCAGTTCAAAATCCTGGAGGAGCTCGTGATGATGTGAACGGAGGATCTCCGCTTCCATTGCGCTCAGGTCTCAAACAAGAAACTGGCGGCCCAGGCGTTTGGGACTCATTGAATGCTCTCTGGCCTGTTGCCTGAACCGCTTCCGCCGTGCAAGCCCACGTCCGGGTAGCTCAGGAGTTCTAAGAGGCGGCACAATTTGTGTCTCGAGGGCCCACGTGTCGGTCCCAGACCGGCTGATAATCCGCCAGGGCATGTGAATTATGGCGGTAAAAACTTCGCAGATACAGCAAGTTGGATGACATCTATTCGTGCGAAATGACTGGTATGCACTTGACAACGATACCAGCGAGAGTATTCCTAGAGAACAACATCAATGGCTGAAGCGGCATGCAACATGGAGTTGACAAGTGTCTCTGTGCTACTTTGCTGCAATGCAAGTGGTAAAGACAAGCAGGATCCGAATATCTTTGATAGGTGTAAGAGACATGTACAAAAGCTTGTGCCAACTATATTTCTAACCTTGCCACAATCTAGTCTGGCAAAGTGCACCCATTGTCTTTGCATCGGATAATCATCACGGCACGGTGATTGATGCCGATACTGAGGACTTGACAAAGTTGTCATTCATACAATGGTTGTTGAACTTCGATTGCACTCTGAATCGCGGTTTCCTGCTTCTCGTTAACAAAACTGTGTGGTACCTCCCGAAGCATGGAGACAGTAATATCTATGCCTTCCTGCACCATGTCAAAGTGCTTCAGGCCCCCAAGAAGCTCGATCAAGCACTACCTATCCGTACGGAGATTGCAGTATATTTCAAGGTCAGTTACGACACGCAATTATTGGAGCTGTGGAGGAGCAAGGGAATTCAGTCAATCGATCAACAGCATGGTGTCGACACTATTGATGAACGCCCTCAGCTCCTCAAGTTATCTTTGGTATGCTTTAAGAAGTACTGGAGCTAGGCAAGGACTCTCTCATGGAGCTTTGTGTGGACCCCCTTTATCGGCCTCGAAACCCCGTCATTGCATTCCGCTTAGTGTTTCAACTTCATTGCCATGTAGCTGTACATTTTCGACATTTACTCATCAACAACAGCATTTGTCGCACAAAGGCCGATGTTGATCATATTCCTCGTGATATAGATGTTGTTGTGTTACTGGGACTTGTTGCCGTATTTTTCGTGAAGAGACTCTATTTGGTCAGCTATGCCATCAAGCCTCTTGTTGTCTTGCCAGGTTTTGCTGCGAGGCTGCCGACCATCGCGATGCAGTGATCTAAGTTCTCGAGAGTGGAGCCCAAATAATAAACGAAGGGGTCGAAATCCTGATATCCTGTTTGAAATCCTCTATCAGATTAGTACTCTCAATCGCCACGTCGAAGATTTCAAGGAGCCCTCCAAGTAGACGACAACGATGTCCAGGAGCTTGGCAACCACCCGGTTGTAGTCCTTCGCATATGCGCGTTAGTGATGGACAGCGTCTTCCGCAGCCCTTGGAAAAAAAAAAAAAAAAAAAAAACTTTGGCTCCTGTGTAAGGCCCGGTACGAATAGTGGCTGTAATACTGGGGTCGGTTCATCGCTGCCATTGGGTGTCCAATAGGATAAGAATAGCGCGCTTGATGGAGAACTTTTGAGCACAGAGCATCACTCCTAAACCTTAAACCCTTAAACCTTCTGAAGCGTGACCCTCAAAACGATTTCCATCACCCATCAACAGGTTCAACACCATGTCCACCGGCATCAGGAAATCCTCCCGTCTTGTTCAGAAAGCGGCCAAAGCAGCCCTTCATGAATCTCCTCCCCCGGTTATAACCAAGCCCAAGAAGACAGTTGTCAATGCAAAGCAAGCGAACAAAGCACGCAGGCTGACAGTAACCAAACCCGGACCGCGCAATGATGTCAACACATGCAAGAAGCAGCGCCTAGTCAAGAAGAAATCAGAATTAGTGAATGAGCTTGGGACCGACGCAATTACAGCGACACGAACAGAGCGATCGATTTTGCCTAAGGGAGGCAAGACGCTAAAAACCAAAAAGCGAGCAGCCATCTCAGAGGACGCTAACGCGGCGGAGTGCGAGGGTAAACCCAAACGACCTCGTAAACGAGCTAAGGTGCATGGGGCATCTACCGCCGCACCTAAAACAAATCAGCCTGGACAGCACTCACCAGAAGAAAAGGAAGCCATCACGACTTTGGTGCAGCCTCCTCATCCTGTGAATCCAACGGATCCATGTTCTCTGCTTCCAACAGAGGTCTGGCACAAGATCCTGTCCCTTCTGCCGCTGTCCCAAGTCGCCAGGATTTCTGTTCTCTCGGAAACATGGCTTGATGGGTCGCGTTCGTTTGCGGCCTGGAAGGCCATATGTCAGGCTGCCAACCTCGGTGAACCCAAGAAAAAGTATCGATCTCATATGGCACTCGTCTGTGTGCACTCATTCTGGATCTGCGACAGATGTTATTCACACAAGGCAGGCAGGGAGAGACCTTCAGACATCCCACTCGCGATGGCCGACGACGATGATAATGGACTCATTTGGTCGCTGTGCCGCGACTGTCGCCTCCAATACTACAAGAAGCATCCTGAGCCCCTCCGAGAGAACGATGCTGGCGCGTATGAGTTTCGGATGCATAAGATGCCAAAAACAGATGCCTTTTACAACTATTCTTTCACCGAGACGGATCTCAGAGACCTTCACTGCGATGTACGACGGAATCCCTACAAGCGTTTAGGCACCCCGATGCGATTGTACCGTACCTATGAGCTTCAGAAGCGCGCTCTGGAACTGCATGGAGGGTGGATCGGGGTCGACTGCTGCAAGAATAAGGTGGCGAGGAGCCGAAACAGGGCGTTTACGATCAGAGAAAAAGGCAGAGACCCAAGCGCGGCAAAGGGCAAGGGCAAGGGCAAGGACGATAACAAGAACAAACAAGGAGTTGACAATGCTGGTGTTGCGGAAGGCAACCAGAATCAAGACGAGACTAGTCGTGCGAATCAGGATGAAACCAACAGACAAGGGCAAGGCACCAGTCGGGAACAGCTCGAGGACGGTAGCAATGTCGACAACAGCATTGCGGGAACAAATAGATGCGCAGCTTTAAACGCTATTGCTGGTGATATTGCGGGTCCCCTCGCTATTGAGAACGAGGTCCAGAATGCGATCCAGGTCCAGGTTTAACTAGCCTGTGACCCATGATATTGTACTTTTACAGTCTTGCGCATAACTTCCTTTGCCCTTACCACTCATTTTGCATGCTCATACTATGCCATGCTTCTGAAAGGGTTGATATCAGCAATAAAAATGTATTCGATTCAGCAATTGCTCATTCTGTCGATAGCTGGATCCAGAAGTTCAAAGATAGCCATGCTATATGTCTGTATGATTGACACAACCGCAGTCTAGCATGCACTTTCACCCGCTTTTCTTCAAAAACTTAAAGTTACAGAGAGACATGTTTTATTGTTCTAATGCTGGTGACCCTATAGGGGCCCATTGATTGTCCTGATCTTATGCCCAAGCCAAATTTTCCGCAGCTTTTCGAATCGTAAAAGATGTCGGGCCACTCGCGCCTCGATGGATGTGTCGCACTGAAGAGCTCCGGCGCCGTCCTTCAACGCGGTGCTCTTGGCCCTTCCGTCCCTCCACAGTTGGATAGTCCGATCAATCTTCTCTTTGGTGTTCAGTCCATGGATCCTGATATGCAATGCTTCCAGACCCTTGCAACCCCAAGTCACCTGTTCAATCTCATCGATATGCATCTCATGTAACGAAAGACAGAGTAACTTTAGCTTTGTACAGAGCTGCGGTAAAAGATCGATGGCCCGTCTAGAATGCTGTAGTTGATCCGTTAGCGCTGGCACATTGTCGGATTCGAGAAAACCATCATGTGGGATGAATGTCATTAGATGTTCCAGCGTATTATGATGAGAGAGTATTGCCGTGACTATATCTGCGGAAAGTATCTTATAGGAAACGACGATAGTACTCAGATTTCGGAAGACTTGTAGCAGAAGGTCCTTCGTAATGTCGCCTCCGGTTCCGGTATGGAGTCCTTTCAGTAGCGGACAGTATCGAGCTACGTCTTTGGCGATGACATCCATGGAGATGGTGGGTGTTGGTGTCCGATACTCTGTGTTCCAATCTTCGAGGTTCGGAAAGTGGATAAAGAGCGAAGGCGCGCCAGGAAAGCTGGGATCCATTGTGAAGACCTGGTTGATCGAGGCGTAGAGCTCCTTCAAACCGCAATGCTGAAACATGTCGGACTCGAAACTACAATGGATGACTATATCTTTCATTTCCAAAGTGTTGAGGAGGGGACATTGTTGCAGTAGCGCCGAAAATGCATCTCGTGTAAGCTTCAGCCTACTGATGGTGAGTGAGGACAATTTCGAGGCTGTTGCAGTTCCGGGACGCTGATAGAATGCTTCGAGCGATAAATACGACCCTGGGGAAGCCAGACAGGAGATATCCAGGGATAGGAGAGTGGTGCTGCTGCGGCGGATAATGTCGTTGCATAGAAGCGTGCCGTATCTTGCACAACCACTGTGAGATGCTCCAGCTGGGACGCCTGTGACCAGAGGATGATGCTCAGGTCGGACTCTTCTGTAAGGTTCTTGACGATGCGAATGTACTGTCCATATTTTCGAAGAGCGTCTTGACCGAGATGGTGGAGATCCATTTCCTCGTCAAAGTCGATGGCGTGCCATATAGGATACACAAAGTGGTCTGTCCAGGCCTTGCAAACTTGCGCGCATGCAACGGTGTCCTCCACGGCAAGGAATCGTGCAACCTGGGCACGTAGCTCTGGTATCTGGAGTGGATTCTGGGGTGCTTTGGTCATGGAGAAGAAGAAGGAAGAAAAGGTGCGGCGTGGGTGTCTGTCAGTCGTGAAGGGGTTTGTTCTGTTTAAGAAAGAAAAGCTCTAGTTTATTGGCAATTGTGTACAAAGTTATTCTGCCCTTCGATGGGACTCTGCCTGTGTGTATCTTTTCAGTAATAAACTTTTTTTTCTTTTTTTTTGTTAATGTATGCGGCTTGGATGTGATATACCTTAGGGATCCATGGCTCCTCGGAACTCTATCATCTCCAGAATAGAAGCCTGGGCAGATTGGGTGGGACAGTTAGAGTCCCATCTTGGTCGAATAGTAGGCTTTAGTCTTCATACTTATTCGACTACGCTGAATATAGCATAGACTACCTTATAAGGCAATGAAAAGTGGTTCTTGGGTTCATAGGTCGGTCGCAACGTCTCATGTTGCTGTTAGCTGTGCACAGCCAATGTTTTCGATAGCGGAGGAAAAGTTTCGATATGTTGCTGTGCATGTACAGCCACCTAACAATTATAATTGGGCAATCATAATTTTCGCCCATGCTTTTGTCAAATTACCTATATACAACACACCAAAAGAGTTATGCAGTCGCTATGGAAATCCTCATGTCTATCGAGGAGCTCTAGGGAAACATCCTTGGTGAATATCAGGGTGGCGTATGCTGAAGGAAAGGGTTGCGGTTCGTTTAATATCTGCCATTACCGCCGCTGTACTTTTTCACGAATTCCAGTCTCTGGGACATCGTGCCGACCAGTCTTGCAATATATTCTTGTGATAAAGCACTCCATTCCTCCATTAGAGCTCTCACCAGGGCTGTAATGTCCCGGGGTTGTCTTTGTCGTCGATTGAGGGCGGTATCAAGGAGGGACCAGACATACTCGATGGGGCTCAAATCTGGGGAGTTGGCTGGCCAGCCCTCTATCTTGCGAA